ATGGATCAGCATCCACATATCAGAGAAAATATTGTTTTTTGGGGGGATTGGCTTATTTCATTTAGCATAATATTCTCCAACTCTATCCATTTACCTGCAAATTCCATGATTTTATTCTCTTTTCATGCTGAGTAATATTCCATTGTGTATATATATACCACAGTTTCTTTATCCATTCATCTACTAAAGGGCATTTAAGTTGATTCCACAGTTTAGTTGTTGTGAATTGTGCTGCTATAAATATTGATGTGGCTGTGTCACTGTAGTATGCTGTTTTTAAGTCCTTTGGGTATAAACCAAGGAGTGGAAGAGCTAGGTCAAATGGTGGTTCCATTCCAAGTTTTCCAAGGAACCTCCATACCCTTTTCCATATTGGTTGCGTCAATTTGCAATCTCACCACCAATGTATGAGTGTGTCTTTTTTTTTTTTTTCTGCAACTCCGCTGGGACTCATGAGTGTGTCTTTTTACCCACATCCTCGCCAACACTTATTGTTGTTTGTATGCATAACAGCTGCCATTCTGACTGGAGTGAGATGAAATCTTAGTTTTGATTTTTATTTCTCTAATTGTTAGAAATGTTGAACATTTTTTCATATATTTGTTGATTGTATATCATCTTCTGAGAAGTGTCTGTTCAGTTCCTTGGCCCATTTACTGCTTGGTTTATTTGTTTTTGGTTTTTGGTGTTAAATTTTTTGAGTTCTTTATATATCCTAGAGATTAGTGCTCTATCTGATGTGTGTATAGTAAAAATCTGCTCCCAAAATGTAGGCTCTCTATTCACCTCACTGATTGTTTCTTTTGCTGAGAAGAAGCTTTTTAGTTTGAATCCATCCCATTTATTGATTCCTGATTTTATTTCTTGCGCTATAGGAGTCTTATTAAGGAAGTCAGGGCCTAATCCGACATGATAAAAATTTGGTCCTACTTTTTCTTCTATTAGGCACAGGGTCTCTGGTTTAATTCCTAGGTCCTTGCATGGTGAGAGACAGGGGCTTAATTCCATTTTGCTGCATATGGATTTCCAGTTTTCCCAGCACCATTTGTTGAGGAGGCTATCTTTTCTCCAATATATGTTTTTGGCACCTTTGTGTAGTATGAGATAACTGTATTTATGTGGGTTTGTCTCTGTGTCTTCTATTCTGCACCACTGGTCTACAAGTCTATTTTGGTGCCAATACCATGCTGTTTTTGTTACTATTGCTCTGTAGTACAGTTTAAAGTCTGGTATAGTGATGCCACCTGCTTCACTCTTCTTGCTAAGGATTTCTTTGCCTCTTCTCTGTCTCTTATTTTTACAGATGAATTTCATAATTGTTTTTTCTATTTCTATAAGGAATGTCATTGGGATTTTGATTGGGATTGCATTAAATCTGTATAGTGCTTTTGGTAGTATGATCATTTTGACAATATTAATTCTACCTCTCCAAGAACAAGGGAGATCTTTCCATCTTCTAAGATCTTCTTTAATTTCTTTCTTTAGCATTCTGTAGTTTTCATTGTAGAGGTCTTTCAGAAACTAAGTTGATTTCCAAGTTGTTGTTTTTTTTTTTTTTGAGGCTGTTGTAAATGGGGTAGTTTTCCTAGTCTTTCAGAGGATTTGTCACTGGCGTACAGAAATGCCTTTGATTTATGGGTGTTGATTTTATATCCTGCTACTTTTCTGAATTCATTTATTGATTCTAGAAGTTTTCTGGTGGAATTTTTTGGATCCTCTAAGTATTGAATCATGTCATCAGCAAAGAGTGATAGTTTGAGTTCTTCTTTTCCTATCTATATCCCTTTAATTTCTTTCATCTGTCTAATTGCTCTGGCTAGAGTTTCAAGAACTATGTAAAATAGAAGTGGTGAAAGGGCATCTCTGTCTTGTTCCATAGATTGTGTTTTGCTGGTTTTTTTGGTTGTTGTTCGTATTTTCATATTCTTAGTGTGTTTTGTGAAAAGTTTTGAATTTTGAGAAGATTCATTCCATCATTTTTTCCATAAATAAATCCTTACAGTCAACTGGTTTTTTTTAAAATTTTTTTTAGTTGTAGATGGTCACAAATACCTTTATTTTATTTATTTATTTTTATGTGGTGCTGAGGATCAAACCCAGTGCCTCACTCATGCTAGGCCAGTGCTCTACCACTTTTAGCCACAATCCCAAACCCAAATGGTTACTTTAAAGTAAAATTCACTGAGAAGAAAATAGTCTGTACAATAAATGGTCTAGGACAATAGATAACCACATACAAAAAGACGAACTTAAAGACTCTCACTTCACACCATACACAAAAAATAGTTCTAAATGGCTCATAGACTTAAACTGTAAGAATAACAATAACAAAGTCTTTAAAAGAAAATATGGAAAATTTCAAGATCTTCAGTTAGAGAAAATTTCTTTTTCATCTGTTCTTGAATTCTTGTCCTGTTTAAACATGTGTGTGTGTGTGTGTGTGTGTGTGTGTGTGTGTGTGTGATGTGTATATATAATGTAGGTAAAGACATAGCCACCTTTGGTAAATATGATAAAATATTTCACTGGAATTGGTAATGAAAATTTAAATATTAATAACATAAAAATGTGAGAAAAATATGCAAGGAATAAGTGGCAAGCAAGCCAGAATAAATATCCATAGTGTGGCAGGTGAAACTCAAATCAAAGCTGTGTAAGTCTTAAATTAACTCCTTTAAATATTACTCAGTGTATACATTTCAGGGTAGGAAACACTGATTACAGGCAGTCACCAATTGCAGATTAAGATTAAGGAGAAACTATCTCTGATAGAAAAGTGAATCTTAAATCAGTTAGGAAGACACCTCACACCCTAATGTTTGCAATGCTATCATAAATTTGACATGAAATTCTTATATCCTATTACAGTCAATACGTGTCAGAAGAAATTACTACAGCATCTATAAACATAAATTCATCAAAAAAAGCAATTGTTCCAGTAAACTTTAAGGGTTTCATCTAAAATTGTTAGTAATTAATTTCATGGTCAAGTTACTTCTTACATTCTCACAGGGGACACTGGACTAACACTTGCGTTCACTGTGTGTCAGTCAGTGGCCTCTCCCTCTCTTGTGCAAGTCTGGTACTTAGGATTTCTTTGCTAAAGCCTGAATCTTTGCAAAAGCCTGATTTGCAAAACAAAATTCATTTTTGAAAAATATTTCCTAATATAATTAAAATTATATTACAGCTTACTGATGTTTGATTTCTTTTCATAGTTTTTATGTACAATTTGTTATTTATACATCCTCTTAGGAAAGGTAACTTGTTCTATTTTTCTTTGATCGCTCTATGAGTGGTTTTTAGATCACTGGAGTCATTAGTTAAGTACTGGAACCTTGTCATGTAGCATCTGATAAGATTCTTAAATTATAATGAGTATTTGGTATGTTTTTGCTGGAATGAAGTTAATACTAATTTTTAACATTATAGTTTTAAAATTACATTTGATTAGCTTTAAGGTCTAATGGCAGATATCATACCATGGAATCCATCAAATTACTAAAATAATATTGAAGAAGAGACATGTAGGCATGTCATTAATATAATGAAGGCTAGTCTTTCAATGCCAAGAACCAAATACCAACCAAAAACTATCCTGGACAGTTTAAAGGTTGGACTTTTTAATTCAGGATGAGGTGGACTTAGTCCACCATATGCTGCATTGTCCACCACAGTAAGAAGTACCCCAAGTAAAGTTAGTCTTATTATCTTTATGTTGTTATTAACATATGCTAATAATCACTTCCATCCTGAAAAAAACAGAAACAATTTTCAGCTCATCAGAAGCACACTTAAATTTGAAAGAGGCAAGCTAACGAGTGAATGAAGAGAACCTTCTTTTTACTTGTTACGGTTGAGTGGACACTAGCTAAGTACATATCCTATGAAGTTTGCATATAAGATGGGTAAAATGGTACTTCACAAAAAGCAAGTGAAATGAAAACATAATTCACAAACACTTTTAAATACTTTACTTCTTGCCTAAGAAATAACTGTGCTGACTCCGGGTAATTTTCCCAAACACTATCTGCAGTGATCTTTTCAATTACAGCCCCGACAGCCTTCAGCCACTTGGAGCCATGAAGTCCCAACTGGAATCTTTTTTTGACCTGAGGGTCTGGGCCAGTGTCTATACTAGAAGAATTTTTAGATGCCTTGAACTAGTAGCTAATCTGCTCAGCATCAGATCAGCCATTCTGTTGATCCAGCCCTGATATTGTAACCTAGTTTGAGGTACTAAGATTTTATCTGTTTATTTGTAACCTTGCCCCTATCTCTACTACTAGAAACTATGTCCTGGATTCATCCATTACGATCTGCAATCTTACCTTAGGACTTTACTTTGTATCCCAGTTGATACACGACTTCCTATAATGTTCTGTGGGCTTACATAGAATCCTACTGTGGAATTTCAGTCTTCATGAATATGTCCCCAGTACATACCACCTGGAAGCTGTGATGTCTCAATTTCCATTTATTAGCTAGTATCGGACTCATCACATCATATGTATGCTTCAGCTAAATTTTCTCCCAACTGCCAGTTCTTTTTCCTTTGTCTAACACTGGTGGGTGGCTGGGACTTGAGTTTGAGTTATCCACAGATTGACCATCTCACTGCTGAGTTCTAATTCCTCTTTCTATCTTTCTTTCCTTTTTTTTTTTTTTGTAGTCCTGGAAATTATACCCAGAGCTTCATACATGCTAAGCAAGCACTCTGCCACCAAGCTATATCCCCAGATATTTTTATTTTATTTTGAGACAGGGTCTCACTAAGTTGCCCAGGCTATCCTTGAACTTCTGATCCTCCTGCCTCAGCCCGCTGAGTATCTGGAAGTACAGCTCTGCACCATCATGCCCAGCCTGAGTTCTAATCCAAATAAAACTCAAGTAATACCTTTATTTAAAAATATTTCTGTTCATACCAGCCAGCAGTAAGTTCAAAGATGCTTCATTAAATATGTATCTGCTGCTTGAAGTACAACAGAAAACACCCATACCTGTCTGAGTGAATCCTGTTTTGTATCCATTGGTTGTCCCATTTTCTGGAGTCACAGTTGATGACACTGAAGAGTTTGGTTTAATAGAGTGGCAAGTAGCAGAGGATTGTCGGCTTCTACATTCTGGAATGGAATAAAAAGTACATAAAAATCTCTGAAACAAATTGCTGCTTCTTAAGTGGTAGCCACTTTATTAGAGATCCCATTCCCCTAATCCTGAGTTCGACAAAAGTGAGCACAATTCTTCCTAGGCCCAAATGTCATGCTTGAAAAGCGAAGAACAATCAGACCTCAGTTCCCTGCAGACTAGTTCCTAGGAAAAAATACACATAACCAAAAGAGTGATGCTAGCTTTTTGGGTAAGACAGAGGCAAAATTATCGATAATTTTAAAAGACAACAACAACAACAAACTTTACAAACACTAGTTAGTCTCCTGAACAGGATTTATTTAAGTTTATAATTGTAACCTAGAGTTTGTTAGGCTCCCTTCAATCTTCTATATTCAGTCTTAACTTATGTCCAAACATAGAAGCAAAGAGAAATTGTATAGGTAGAACAGAAAAAATTAGGAATGCTCAAATTCTTGTTATTTCCAAGTCTTATTAAAGAAAATATGTAGGTGATACTCAAAGTGATTATAGATGATGCAATACCAAGGTTTGTGTTTTCTGATGTTATTGGGACTCTGGTATGATATTTTAATAGTACTTTGTACTGATTCAGGGAGATGGTAAATACCATGACAGCCTGTTGGACTGTAAGTTCTAACCACATTATACTCTATTAGTCTCAGAAAGTAGCATGCGAAATAGGAGTGTAAATGATTGTGTATGACAAAGTTAATTATAAAGAGTCCTTTAGAGGTTTCCAGTTTATGAGACACATGTAAAAATTGAAGGCAGTTTTCTCAAGCATCTATGCTATGACCTTATGGGAAGAGCAATTGTATTTTGGCGTAAAACCTTGATCTTCACATTATGTGTATTTTATATGCATATATATAATGTTTTTAATCTGTGAATATATACATATACAACTTGAGTTCAAAAGAGCAACTGTTATAAACAAATATCATTCTAAACTAGAAAAGCAAATTCTCACTGAGCACTAAATAAGAAATTAAAAACATCGTATGCAACCAAAACAAAAACTAAAGGATAAAGTTAAAAGTAGATAGGTGATACTTATCCTATTTTTACTCCTTTATTAAGCTTCATGACATTCAAATTAACTTTTTTAGAGGAAAATTATTTAGATTTTATTAGGATAAAGAATTATCTATCATTCATCATGCTTATGATTCAACAGTTGCCAGCCTTAAATTCTGATGATATCCACCTTAGAACAGGTAGCCATTCCTAAGGAATTATATAACAGCACTACAGATGCGACAAAGAATAATTTTGGTGAAGGACTAAGAGGCAAATCTTCTATTGTAATCTGGATTTATTCATGGCTGGGCAAAAATCTTGTATAGGCAAGAAACCGAAACATTATAGACAATTATTCTATGGAGTAAAAACAATCTCAGCATCTAAAAAAACTGCTGAATAGAATAAGGATTAGATTCTCTGCTGCATTAGAAAAGTGAGCAGAACTTGTGGCAACTCCTATAATAGAACACATGAGGATGTGAAGTTTCAACTGGATTCATTTCTACAGATAAGGTCGTTAAGTTCTTTCTAATTTAAAAGAAACAAAACTCTGTCAACTTTAAAGTAAATGCATTTTCTCAGGTGTTATGAAGACCACTTTGTTTATTCTAAGCATGCTTTGGTCAAATTAAAATACAAAAATTCAGGTGCTTTCCAACTACCTAAGAACTTAAAGTAAAAAGAGCCTCTGAAACGTGAAGATCTTCTCCTTTCTAAATTATAGAAGAAGAGCAAGAGAGTGTCCATTCCCCTCCCTAAGAGTGCCACCCCCTTCTCAGAAGACAGAGCCTCCCGTAAGGGTCACTTGTCACCATCATAAGATTCCCTTTCCTTCCCTTTGCCCTTCTCAAAGTTGAGTACCTTTCCAGCAGATAAGAGGCCCCTTTGATAGTACACCCTGGGACGTTCTGACTAGGTAGTACTTTAAGTGCTTCTGCTTCTTTGGCTGGGTGGTAAGCTTCAAGTTAATGTGGTTGGAAAATTCCGTGAAATACCGAAATCCTCTTTCTCCACAGCCGATACAGTTTCCAGAGAACCCTGAGTAAGGAAAATTGATGTTATTAGTGACCTCATAAGGTGATACAATACTTTTATGTATAAAAAGCACTGAAATATTCACATTATTTGACTCAATAATGTCTCAAATTAAACTCAAAGGGAAAAAAAAACAGGTGCAAAAA